TGACCTACTTTCACCCATATGGTATGTTTTGCTACGAAATTAAATCATATGACATCTCAACAATTTCCCAAGTGTCCGCTTTAAGGTTTCCTTTACCTACTGAAACTAGTCTCTGACAGGCAAATTTTTACACTTCAGGAGTGACGAAGTTACGGCAAATCGGAAGATTACAAAATAACTTGCACCAAAGGATTGGTTTGTCGAAGTTCTCCCTAACAATGATGATGGGACTGTCCTCACCCAACAAGCATTAAAGAAAAAAATATATCAGTCAAAGCAAGCTCCAACATAGCCAACCTCATTATCTTTTGAAACAGGCTAAAGTAAAAAAGATTTGAACCACAGAAAATTGTAAATAATGTCCCAGACACTCAAACAGTATCATACAAAAAGAGAGATGATAGACTAACACCAGCTTCTCATTCTTCCTCCTCGGCCTCATTCTCAGCAATGTTGAAGTACCTCAACTCATAAACATTTCGATCCTTGTTCGAAGAAATAACTCGCAGCCAATCACGGACATTATTCTTCTTCAGATATTTCTTTGTCAGGTACTTCAAGTACCTACTCAAACAAAATAAAATTACGAGACTGCATTGGCTGATATTTTCTTAAAGAGAGACAGCTTGTTAGCCACACAACAGTTTGATAAAAAAGTAAAACAAAAAGACTCTAGAAAAACTCGGGTCAAGAGAACTGATTTAAGTCCCAAACGGAGGCCCCTTCTACGCAGGCATGCAAACGAAATGGGCACTACCCCCCTTACAACATCTTTTTACAAAAGGACAGGACAAACCTGTTCTCATTCTGAACAAATAGAATTCATTAAATGAGGCTAATCAGCAATGTTTTACCAAAAAAGAATAGCAAGAAGAAGACATACATATTCCAAAATAATTAAATCTAAAAATGATGTGCAATTGTAGCTTATGTTCTTAACCAATACAAGGGGAGTATAGTACTGCAAGACAGGACAAAACCATATGTTGTTTTCACAAAACTAGACTCAAAACATCATCCTGAATACACCATTCTCTTAAGAAAGAATGGTTGGATCAAAGTCTAGTGAATTTAAAAGTAGATAAGAGCAGTCGGAGCATCTAAATGCTATTCAATAAAAAAGGAAATGAGATGAGACATCAAAATTCTGGCACAATGCTTCTAACTCAAACAGTGTAGATACCCAATGATAAATGAAAAAGGTTCTGATTTGGAGTGAGTAATAGTCCCTGGATCAAACCCAACTAAAAGAATGTCCTGATTTGAAGCAACCAACTGACTAGACAAAACAGAGTTGATTTATCTGACAAACTCCATTAAGTATGACAATATTAACACTGTATTTAACGCATTTTCCTTGGCTATCCATATAACTAAGTTGAGCACATAACATATAAATCATAACGACTACATGTCTATCTTCTTAATCAGTTAAAAGTTGTGTTGTTATGCAAAGAAAAAACTATCAAGAAAAGTATATCCTCACATTAGCCATGTGCAACATAGGTCTAACCCAAGTATTGTGTTAAATTAAAGAGGACTGCCAGAAAATGAAGTTCCTCAATAAACTGACAAATTAAACCATGTTGCAATAAAGTAGAACAAAACAAGAATGGTAGAGAAAGAAGTATGAGAATTGTTGTTAGATAATCTCATTCAAGTGTGTATTCATAGGGCCAAGAGTACCCCTATTTATATAGGGTGGAAGATTTAAGTAGACAATTTAATAAATGCATATAAAAGCTCTAAATGGTTCATTAAATAAGGAATTGGAAGTACTAATTGGACATGCACTTTTTAAAGTACTCAAACTACTTCCTCCCTGGATGTCCATTGCACAGAGAACATATCTCGTTAAAACCTTACTAGAAAAAAATCCTTTTGGGATACAAAAATCTAGTGAAGGAAAAGATGTATGTAGTTATTTCTAGAATACATATTGAATTACTTGTCCATTCCAACTTCGAGAAGATAATGAGGAACTTCTTGGTCCTATCTCAGTACAATTGATGCACTCATTTATCTTGCTACGACAACAAGACTTGACATAGCATCTTTTGTTAATATGGTCCGCGGAGACATTGGAATTTGAGCATATTTTGCCATATCTAGAGGCAACTATTGATATGACCCTATCTTATGCTAACAAATGCAATTCTGATCTTGTTGGTTATGCATACAAAGAAAATTTAGTTTATCCACATAAAGCTCAATTGCAAATAGGCCTTTGTTTACATGTGAGGCACTGCCATATCATAGCACTCTACAAAGTAATCTATTGCTGCTACTTCTTGAACATGTATTGAGATAATAGCTATTCATGAAGAAAGTTGGATATGTGTATATTTAAAATTAGCAGTAATTCATTTCATTTGAGAAAAATATGGTTCGAAAAGTGAAAGAAATACCCACGATATTATAGGATGATAAATACAGCATAGCATAGGCCAATTAAAGGGTTATTTCACAAAGGAGATAGAATGAAGAACAATTTGCAAAATTCTTTTTCACATGATATTAAGGTGCAGCAAGCGATAATCGGGGAGACTTGTTAAATAGATCTTTTACATCGAGAAAATCTTTGTTGGCTTCTCGCTCAACTCCAGTTGGCGCAAAAGTTCAAAGCTCGGATGACTATAAGCATACCCTGCGCTCTCCTCCCAACTTAAATACCAAGTTGTATTTTGCAATAAGGTTCAAACTTTTGACGTGCATCGGACCCACGATGTTCGCATCAAGAGCAATGACGAACATCAAAGGGAGTAATGTTGTGAATACTTTGTATTCATGAACTACCATTGAATTTTCCTATATATCCTTATGCTTGGAACCATAATACATAGACATCCCCTTGAACTTGCCAAAGTATCCACTTAGACACTTTAAGTAAGGGTCCAATCTATTGAACACGTTATGCTGTCGAAAGTGTGTCAATTGAACACGTATAGGGACATGGCAGATCCGTGTCATTACGCATAAACTTGAGCTTACACTGCCGGAAAAAATAAAATTTGACAAAAAGGTTAATTTCCAGCAAAATATTTCTCTAGATTAAGCCACCATTTTTCCCTTCAAATGTCAGCCATTTTTCAACAGAAATCCGGCCAAGCTCCTTGATGAGAGGCCATGAATAATAAAGGAGGCAATTCGACCCACACTTTGCTCATTTCAAATGCCTACCTTAATTTCATAACCAAACTTTTACAACAATAGAGAACGAAGGAAATATCTTAATTGTCTTTAATAGGAGATAAGGAGCCAAATCCAAAGCCTTTAGACTATCCAACGCATAAATTTGACCCATAGCCAAACCCATCATCAGAAGTTGAGCTTGCAAAAACAAACATGGTCAAAGCTTCAATTTCATCAACATTAACTCCTTAACCTTCTTTGTTTAAAGCCAAAAGGTATTACTTCACACAAATTTCTCAAACACCTTGAAAGTTTTCAGATGAGTTTGTGAGTTGCTGACACCGAAGAGAAAAATCATTACTTTGGGTTTGACAACTGTCTCGGACAACTTCTTATCCAAGTTTCAACCACCAGCTTTTCTCCTAATCCAATAATTTTTTTAACAAAATTTGACTAAGTTTCTCTTTCTAATGTCTTAACCCCACAAATCTGATTCTTGACTTAAGAGAACAACACAATGAGAGTAATGAATAAAGAAAGATAACATTAGCCAGAAGTTCTCATTATCAGTCAATGTCTTTACTTTTCTTTTTTCTCTTCAACTTTTGACTTTTTATTCTCCGCTAATGTGTCGTTTCCTCATTGGTATCATTTTCCACATCAACCGCGAGTAGAACGCACGAGCTTTAGATTGTCTAAAATTGTCAAATATGTGTTCGATAGGCACATTTTTAATATCATAAGGTGTTCCATATGTTGGACCCTTAGTTAAGATATCTAAATTAACTTTTTGGCAAGTTTAATCGGCCGCCTATGTATTCTTTTACATGTATTATGTATATATTAAATTGATCAATTAGTTCTTGCGACGGTTGGAGTGAATTTTGTACCCTATAAATAGGTTACTCCTAGCACTACAAAAACATAACTTGAGTGAGATTAACTAGTAATAATCTCTACATCTCTTGTCTATATTTCTTTTTTTGTCATACTTTATCTTACAACATGCTAAAAATATCAAGCAAACTTCCTATTCTTATAGGATTTCATAGTTCAACATGTAAAATCAAAATAACCCTCCGCTAGAAATAGAAGTAGGTACGATAACAGCGATAGCTGGATATTTCTAGTCAAACCTTTTTCAGAACATAGCAATACATTTTTTGGATAAATAATAAAGAAAATAGATACATTTTTTAGTAACTCAAGAATCAACTAAGGAAAACACTTACGTGTCGTTCAGCTTGTAGATTAGTTGTGCAAGGATTATAATACAGGTTTTAGCCTTGTTTAATAATACTCATTAGCTACTATGACTTAGGTATTCTATGTTATCAAGTATAGGATAATAAATAAACCGAGTGGTAAGTTAAAACAAAAAAGAATACCAAACAAAAGGACAAATGATACCAAACTATGTACTGGGATAATTTTTCCTAATTCCCTTTAACCAAAGGGCCCATTAAAGCACAAGCAAATCTATTTAAGTAATAACTTAGAGGGCGTTTGGGTAAGCTTAAAATATAATAACTGTTTTGGCTTATTTACGGGTTTGATAAACTAACACTAAGGGCTCGTTTGGTATGAGGGACAATTAATCCAAGAATTAAATTTAAGATGAGTTTATCCCACGTTTAGTTGGGATAAATTGCGGTATAACTAATCCCGGGATTAGCTATCCCGGGATTGTAGTGTTTGTTTTATCCCTATGGGAGGGTGGAATAACAATCCCGGATAACTAATCCCGAAATAATTAATCCTGCAATAACTTGTTTCCCAACCAAACGACCCCTAAAAGTGTTAATAAGCAAAAATCAGTCAACGTCCTAAGTTGGTTATGAACACTTTTGCTTTGACCAAACTATTTATTATTTTATCCTAACATCTATTGTATCTTAAATATTTTCCCTAAAATAAAACTTCTAACTTCCTCCGCATTCTATTTTGTAGTTTTTCACACTGATAAAGATTCTTTTTAATATAAGTTTACTCCAAAATGCTTTACCGCCCTTTCTTTCCTCCCGGCTATTCACGCATGAAGATCGTTGTATGTATGCTCGACTTCGGTTGCTGGTGCTATAATAGGTATAAGTACATTATGGGCACTACTGGCCGACTTTCTCAATCCTCAATCTAAAGTCAGAAATAGATCTAGTTATTTTTAAAAGAAAAAATGTTTAGTAAGTGCTTATTATAAGCTTCAACACTTCTAACCCAGTCACTTAATTGCTTATTTGAGAATAAGTGTTGGCAATTAGTAGTATTTTTCAACTTTTATTTCTTATAAGTACTTTCAATCAGCTAATCCAACTTCTAATCAATTGCTTTTATGTCCTTATTATAAAAATCAATTGCTTTTATGTATATGTGGTGCCTAGGCCAGCAAACCTCAATTAATGGTTGGAAATTAAGAATTTTACTCTCAAAGACGTGTCCTGTCCTTTGGGAATGATAGCGCTGATATGTAAGCACATTCGAATGAAGGCCAAATTTCTATGGTTGCTTGGCACTATAGCCCCGCTCCCTTGAAGACCTGAGGTTATAAATACAGCAAGCCGAGAATTTTTTCTAAAAGCTGGAAGGACTTAGAGGGGAGAATCCTCAACTTCTAATCATTTCAACCATCAATGTAAGCTGTTCTAACTAACATAAAAATGAAGATTTATGGCTACAACCAAATTTCCCATGAAATAAAGAGAGATATACCGCTTGGAGAAAGTGCTGTCGGAAGTGACAGTAATCTTGGTCTTGTCACGTGTGACAGTGACGGTGTCGCCCAAGGCACCGGCTTTTCCACCAACCTTAATGCGTTCCTGCAGAAACTTC